GCTTCCGCCTGCGCGTTTCCAGGGCAACGCGGCGCCCCGCTCCCCCGTGAGTACCGGCCGCCGCCCGGGGGTGCCGGCGGGGGTCTTGTTGCCTCCCATGTCGGCAGCGCGGTGCCCTCGTTACCAGCTGGGCGTTCCAGGGAGGGGCTGGAGGGCCCGCGGCGGCCCCTCCTCGGCCCCCGCCGCGGTCTGGGGGCGGAGCGCATGTCGCGCCCCGTCCCGGTATCTCCGCGCGGCTCCTCGGGCGGCCGTGCTGGCCGGGGAGGCACCGGTGGGCCTGGGGTGGGCCCGCAGGGTCCCGGGGCCCTGGCTTCCCGCACTGCCGGGTGAGGAAGCGGTGCCTCGGGTATCGCCCTGCAGCGGAGGGAGGAACAGTTGGGCAGGTGCCGGTCCCGGAGCAGGTCTGCGATTTTACGTCCTGGAGCTCGGCCAAAGACCCTTTCGTGTCCCCTTGTCACAGATCGGGGAAGGGGCCCTGCTGGTGACCGCTCTGAGGGGAGGTGTGTGAGGAGCACCTCTAGTTCCACTGCCCAGCAAAGCTGTAATGGTTAAGGGAGTGGTGTCCAAATCAAAGGGTACTGCACGGTGCCGTCTTTTGTCCGTTGAGCAGTTTTAGCTGGGGTGGCACCGTGTATTGGGAAACGGAATGGTATAGCTATCATATCGAAGTTTATTATGATAGATTCAAACAAGTGCTTAATCATTCTGTCTTAACTTCGTTGTGCAGTTTGACTTAGTGGGACCGGTTAACATCAAGAGATGTCAACTCCCCCTCTCGCTGGGGCAGGCATGCCGCCTGGTGCTTTCTCAGGGACACAGGCTCAGGCAGCTAGGGAGGTAAATACAGCTTCTCTCTGTCGAATTGGACAAGAGACTGTGCAGGACATTGTATTTCGAACCATGGAAATCTTCCAGTTACTGAGGAACATGCAGGTGAGAAAAAACTTTTTCTTTCAATGATCTTCAAACTCCATGTTTTTACCACCAACTGCCAGTTCATGTAGTCACAGGAGGCAGCTTAGGACATTTAAATACATAACTTGATCAAAGTGCTTTGAAAAGGGGGATTGATTGGAGAAGTGGACACTACTACTATTATTTGCTTACTCCTGTACGTTAAGTGAAGACAGAGAGCATTCAGAAATGCTGAAATGTTTCTTTCCCACAATGAATGTACTCCAAATACACTTAATATCTGTGTCTATGAATAGTGAAGTCTGGTTTTATGCCAGTTACATTTCTCTGTTTTTATTAACATCTGGGGAGTAATTTTAGAGGAATTTTTACAGATCTGTTCTATTTTCCACCTAGAACTTTTTGTTATGAAAGTGGACGTAATCCTTATTTGTGGCTACTTAATGAGAAAATGTACAAACTTTAGTTGTGTTTCTCTGTTGAGAGCAGAAGGTAAATAATCACTCCCATTCCCTCTGTATTTTCATGACTCTGGCAGTTTCCTTATGTAGTTATCTTAGGAACAGGTATATGTACTTAGAGTTTGCTAACTGAGTTCACTTTTATTGTGTCTCTGAATTGTGACCTGGGGTTGCATCTCAATGTGTAATACTTAGATAACAACAGTGCCATGCTTAAGCTTTTTTGAAGACATTAACTGAAAAGAGTTACACAGGGATTGACAAGTGACCAAGGTGTAGAATACATAAAGTTGTTTGACAACAGTGATTTAGCACATCAGATGAGCAGAAAAATAAAGTTTTTTTTCTGATAAAAAGATAGACGTTTCAGTGATTTCTGTGGGAATAGTGTGGTTGTCTTATTTTAAAATGTACAAAACTTATTTAGTTTATTTATTTTGTGTGACAAAAACTTTATTTTAATATTTTTAACATTTTGGGGTTTTGGTTTTCTAAGTTACCAAATGGTGTTACTTATCATACTGGAACATATCAAGACAGACTGGGAAAGCTGCAGGAACATCTCCGTCAGCTATCAATACTCTTCAGAAAACTGAGATTAGTCTATGACAAATGCAATGAAAACTGTGCTGGGCTCGATCCTGTTCCCATAGAAGTAAGTATCTTTATATATAAATTACAAATCGGAATAACCACTCTCTGCTTAGCATATCATCTGTTCTTGTTCTTGTGAGGTGTAAGAGATTCATAACAAACAAGTTTTAAGTGAGACTGGAAATGTTCAGTGGACTGAATTCTGTTTATTACTTGGAGCTGGTTGAAAGACTGTGAAACTTTCACATTAACATCATCAATTCTTACCAGTTGGAAGGGATTCAATTTTGAAATCAAGCTTCATTTAGAATTTTAGCCTTTTCCCTCAGGCTTCTTGGTACATTCACCTGTTTGTTTCCCCTAGGTAAAAAAAAAAGAAAGGGTCAGAGACAGCTGTTGCTTTTTAAAGAGCTTGTTATAGTGCTAAAAAGTCTGCTTTAAGCTCTCACCTGCCAGCCTAGCTCTCTAAATAATGATTACTCCTTTGCTTTGGCCTTCAGTCTGTGCCTCCCCAGTTCCCTCACTTGGCTACTCTTAACCTGCTCAGTCAGTATGAACCAAATCTGAATGTGTGGTGGTAATGGAAAAGTAACAGTGTAAGCCTTCCAGGAGGGAGGATTGGCCAGATTTTTTCCTTAATAAACTTTTCCTCATAAATTGTTTCTAATTCCTACAGTTCTATATTAACCAGATCTGTGAAGTTCTTTAATTACTGAGCTCTGGATTCTGAGGATAAATCTTTTTTCATGGTTTGTTGACTTGTGTGCAATAGCTGAATACTTGTGTCCCCTTTAAAAGCTGTTGATGTGTCTTGTTTTCACATGCAGTTGGGATGAGGTGGGATTGGTCTTTTTAAAAAAAAATTTCACAGGATGAAAAGAATCTCCACAGAGAAAATGAGTAGTCCCTTTTAAGCTTTTTTTTTTTTTAATGCAAGGTGTCACAGATACGTTATGCACAGCAGAATTTTGTGTTGATAGTTGGAATTCTTTTTTCTTTTATCTGTGTGGTCTGTACTGCTCTGAAGTTAATAGAATGCCTGCCTCCTCATGTTTTATTAGTTAGGGTGAGCGAGAGTGACACACCATTCCTCTTGGATCAGTTTTCTTAAATTCTTATTTCAGCTTTTCGATAATAGTCTCTGTCATGATTTAATGACTGACATTCTAACCATATCTTTAAAGAATGTCAACAAATCTCTTTTTTTAACACAATCAAGAGAAGTCAGTACCTACTAATACTTCTTAGTCTATTGTTACCGATATAAATGTTTTTATATTTTTTATTAATGTCTACTACCAGTATAATAGGTTTTCTTGTCAAATTTTTGTTAACCAACATAGCAAGGCATGAAGTAATTGTGAAACATATCTGGCTACAGGGTTCTCTAATTCATTCAATTTTCTGCTTCATTTGTGTGTTAGGTTGCTTTTCTTTGTGGTTTTTTTTTTCTACTACCTTTTCCGAAAGAGGGGAGGTTTTCAAAGGAAATATTCTACTTTGAGTGGTACATTATTTTCCTATCAGAGAGAAGAGTTTTTTCCAAGAGTATTTAGCAGCCACACTACTTCTGCTTTATGATATGCAAATGTAATAAGTTGTTAACCTTTACTACGGTTTTCATGGCAGAGTTTAGTGTGGTAATTTTTGTACATTTTGATAATCTTAATAATAATGGCCCTCAAAAATTTTTATATAGAAGGAAATTAAATTTTCAGTGGGTTAAATCAAAGTAAGTTTTCCATCAGAATGCTGAAGGATGCTGCCAAATGCTTCATAATATTACACCCCAACCAAAGTAACAAGTAATACACGTGATGAGCAAGTTTCTCCCAGACTTTTAAACTAGTGTCGTCTTGTTCATTTGCATCAATTGCTAGTCTTTCATTTGTCTGTAATGTGTATGTGAACAAGGATGTAATTTTGCTATCAACATTAGCTTTTTTCAGTTCAGGACAGAAAAATCAACAATAGATCATAGACTTTGTGGATGTAAATGTTAAAGCTTGTAATTATTTTTGAATAAGCTGTTAGTAGCTTGGGAGTGTTCTGACACAAAAATATGTATTTGTTTTTTATCTATTAACTGATTTTCTAAGAAGGGAACATACATTAATTCTCATTTATAAACTCTTTACCAAAGACTTTTGGCTTTGTAGCTTACAAAAAAGGTAGTACACTATGTGCTTGAGGAGATTACAGTGGGAGAATTCTTACAGGAAAAACTCCTATTAGGTAACTGTGAGCCTGGTCTTCAGTATAGCCAAACAGAGGCCCACTAAAATAGCAAGTCATAATTAGGGTATTAACCAAGTAGCTGTGTAAAGCCGGTCATAATTATTTTTAGTATATCACTGAAATACTTTATAGTAATGATAACTTCATATGTGTTGTATTTCATAGTGTGGAATAGTAAATTTTAAAATCACAATCTACAGCATTGAAGAATACAAGGATTACCTGTGATAAACATCTTAACATATAAAGACTGAGTTCTGCCTGCAGTTGTGAAATTGCTTAGGTCTAGGCATGGTAATATGTGGGATTGTGTCTTTTTGAAGCACATCGTTTTCCCTGAGAACAAACTGAGGTCATTACAAGGCCTTTGGGTTTGAGGTGATGAAGTAAGCCTGTCTCCACTTCCTCCTGGGAAGTTTGAACTTCTGGAGAAAATGGTAATACCTTATGTATCTCCTGTATCTCCTGTTTTCAGTTTCTTTTTTTCTTCTTTTTTTCTTCTTTTTTTTCCTTTTTTTAAATTAAATTTTTAGCTAATGTTTCTTGTCTTCACAGCAACTTATTCCATATGTTGAAGAAGATGGCTCCAAGCATGATGATCGTAGTGCTGCAAGTCAGCTTCGTTTTGCTAGTGAAGAGAGAAGGGAAATCATGGAAGTAAATAAGGTAACAAATTTGAAATTAATTTGCATAAAACTGTCACTTTGTCATTCCAAAGCTTAAATTTCTAGATTGCTGTACTAAATGCAGCATGTGTGATGACTACCATCAAACTTAGTAATAAATACTTCTTGCATGTAACTATTTCAGAATTGCCTTTTATTTTTTTTAGCTGTACCTCTGACTGCAGAATTTAGGTTTCCTGACAGTTTTAACTTGTGCCTCTTTTTAAATCGATATATATTCTTTTGAATACCATGTATTATGTTTATGCTTAAGTCACTAGATATCAGCAGTACAGATTGAGGTAAGGTGCCGGTTGAACTTCCTTCTCGTCAAAACTTACCTTAGGCATTAAAAAAATGAGTTTTGAACATCAGATGTGTAAATATTATCACAGTGATGTGAGTCAGTAAAGATTTTCAGGTCTACTTTCTGTATTTTGACAGTTTGAGGAAGACCATTCCTTTTGTTAAATGTAACATTTATTGAATCTTGACACATTTAGAAAAAAATATACTAGGTAGGATAAAGATGCTGTTAAAATTTCAGTTTGAGTGGCAGTATGCAATTGAGTACAATTACTAAAGATGGATTCAAATCTAAAAATAAATATGCTGTAGTAAATGATAATATAATATTGAGATTGTCAGACCACAATTTTGAATATTGTTTCTTCAATCTGTAAAGTACAAAGGTGGGAATAATGAAATATTTCTGCAGCTGTAATATCCATAAATGCTTAGTAAAAAGGAGGCATTATCTACAAAAATAACCAAACAAAGGAATTACATTAGTAAAATATTTCTTTATGGAGAGAATAATTGGTGGATTTTCAGCTTTTAAAATATTTTTGATATTTTAATTTGTCTTCAACAATTAGAGATGTACCGAATTTTTCATAATGCATTTATGTAAAAAAAAAAAAAAAGCATGCATATTGTACAGGAGAAAATGGGGGCTACATGAATTTAGAGAAAAGCAGTTGTCAGCTGTCCTGTTGTATTCTTTCTGTTTAGTGCTGATGTAGCAGGGTTGTATATATTATATTGTATGTAATGTTGTACTGTGAATTTATGCACATTTATTTGCAATCTTTAAGTGTTAATAAGCTTAACTGTCTATATTTGCTGTGGTTTTGATAGTTTTATGACATATTTTTGCCCTTGTTGTACTTGTATGCTAATATGCTTTTAGACCTCCTTGGTGTGATCTTGTGAAGAAAATTTCAGAAATGTTTACGATGAGTTCTAAACCTTGAAGAGGTTAATGGTGTTACAGCAATAATTACAAATGGTAGCAAATTTGTAATTAAGAATATATGCAGACATTCACTTAAATCTGGTCTGAAATCCTGTACTTACACTTAAATCATTGTAGAATCACAGAATGGTTTGGGTTGGAAGGGACCTTAACGGTCATCTATTTCCAACCCCCCTGCCATGGGCAGGGACATCTTCCACTACAACAGGTTGCTCAAAGCTGTTGTGGTTCGAGCCCAGAGGTGAACTGAGCACCACGCAGCTGCTCATTCCCCCTTAGCGCTTAGGAATCAAAAAAAGAACAGAGAGGGATGACTGACCCATTATGGTCATGGGCAAAAGACAGACTTGTTAGGGGAAATATAAAATAACATAAATTTAATACAGACACTAACAACAACAACACTTAACAGACAGAGTAGGACAGTGGGAAGCATTACCACATCTTAGAAACACCTTCCCCATCCCTCCCTTCCGGGGCTCAGCTTTTCTCCCGCTATCTCTACCTCTCCACCTCCAGTGGTGCAGAGGGCAGGGAATGGGGGATGCAGTCAGTTCAGCCACTTCTTCCACCTTGGGTGGGGCAGAAATTCTGGCATTTGTCCCCTCTTCCAGTATGGTTCCCTATGAGATGTCCTAACATGAGTCCCTCCCAGTGTGGGTCTCCTCTGCATGTTCCAATCTTCCCAGTGCTGAACTACAACAGTGGGGCTGCTTCTCCCCGCAGAGTCTTGACCTCCTTTGGGTGCAGTCACCTGCTCTGGTCTGGGACATTTCCAGGGAGGGGACATCCACAGCTTTTCTGGGCAACCTGTTCTAGTACCTCACAGTAAAGAATCTCTTCCTTATAGCTAATCTAAATCTACCCTCTTACCATTTAAAATCATTACCCCTTGTCCTATCACTATACTCCCTGATAGAGTCCCTAACTTTCTCAGCCTATCCTCACAGGGGAGGTGCTCCAGCCCTCGGATCATCTTCATGGCCTACTCTGGACATGCTTTAAGCAGGTCCACGACCTTCTTGTGCTGGTGGCCGCAGAGGTGGACACAGCATTGCAGGTGGGGTCTCAAGAGAGTGGAGTAGAGGGGGGAAAACCACCTCCCTTGACCTGCTGGTCACACTGCTCTTGATGTAGCCCAGGATAACGGTTGGCTTTCTGGGCTGTGAACACACATTGTCTAGATCTAGTTTCCAGATTTTCCACAGTAAATCTTCAGAAGATAGTTGAACTTTCTCCAGTATTTTTGTGGACAAATATTTCTAACTGCTGCAAAAGAAATTTAAACTTCTTGTTTTGAAAGTGCACTGAATTTATTATTTTATATCTCCATCTGTGTAAGCACATCCACTACCAAAGTGGATTTGAAACCACAGTTTCAAAGTTTAAATTCTAATACATTACAGAATGGGAAATATTTGGGGTTTTTACAACAAGAAATAAAAAAATTATTATTTTTTTGAAGAAAAACCACTCTAATCTGGTTAATTGGTCTAATTTTTGGCACTGGCTGCTGAGGACTCAGATAGCCCTCTCCAGTTCTTAGCTGGCACTTGTGACAGCTTTTCAATCCTCTGTAGTACATAATGTCCATCGTCAACTCAATTTTGCTTCATTTATTTTAGTAAAATTTCAGTAATACAAGATGCTGATGAAGATGCTGTGATGGGGAAACCATGACAGATGAAGAAGTTTTTTATATTCTTGACCCACTATCTTTTCTTCTTTCAGCTCAGTTTTGAATGTTGCTGGTACCAAAAATCACATTATTGCACTAACCCACTACTTTGACACTACTGTGACATTTGAATTCTTAGACCTTTCATGGGTCTCTTGATTTTGCCCTTGGTGTGATATCCCAGCCAGTCTGATCTCTTTAGTGGCTCTGGATGTATGTAAAAGACACTGACTGTCTTGTAGTATGGAACACAGCCAAAAGAAGTAGATCATATAAACTTTCTGGATCACATATATTCTCACACAAAAACATCCCTTCTTCCAGGAACCCTGACTTGAAACATAGCAGCTCTGCTTTGCCACCGCAGTTGTCCGGAAAAAGGAGCATCCTCAGTGGAGAAGGCGCAGACTGTTATGTATCTCCTATACTCACCATCTCTCTCATACTGTCTTTTGGTCTTATTTATTTATTCTGCTAAATTAGGCTTATCTTTTAGGTTAGAAAGTTTAATGCATTCACCTTGGTTAAGAAGTACTTGTCCATTAATTTAAAATATAGATCAGTTTACAAGGTAATGAATTTCTGTCCTGGCAATTCAGTAATATTTAGCAACCATAGGTTTAAATAAAAACTATTAAGCTTAAAAACAAAAGGGATCTTTGCCAGCACTAAGAAGAGTGCACTGTTATTACACTGTTAAAACAACCGAACAAACAATTCATTGAGCACTGACTACCTCTACCTATTGTACCAAACAATTCTCTCCTGGAGTTCCCAAAAGTCTTGCTTATTGATTTTATCTATTTGCTTTCTGAGATTGTAAATTGTTGAGGTTGTTGACTCTTCTCTGGAATAAATAATTTACTGTTCCAGAATCAGTTTAGCAACTGCATTGGTCTACTAATACAAGTCGTGACCCAGTTTTCACTGAACGTAATTACTATTTGCAACAATTGGAAGCTGTTATCAGAATTTCCTTGCTTGTCTTCATATTTTTTTGAGTCTTTAATGTTCTATCTACAAGGTTTTTTTACCTTCTAAGTATAACAACTTCTGTAATATTTTCAAGATGACAGGTTCACCTTGGGTCCATGGTCTTGTAGTACATTTGACAGGACTTAAGATGGGAAATATCAAATCACAGACCAAGAACACTTTCATCTCTGTTGCTGCCTTGTCAGCAGTTTTCTTTACTGCTTGTTTTTAGCAGTGGAGCAAGTACAGCTTTGTTTTGTTAGATGCTGTAGGTCTGGTTTCAAATGAAGTACTTAAGAAAAACATCTTATAGTTAGTAGACTCTATATATTTGGGTGAAAATTAAATGATGTAAAACAGCATTAGGATGTTCCAGGTGACCTTTTAGAAAACAGTTGTGTTTGATATTCTTAATTAATCTTTGCTAACTGGTTAACAGTGATCTTTCTAAGAGAGGAAAAGGCAATACATATGACAGGCTTTTAAGTTAAGCTGTTGCAAGTGTAACTCTGTCCTTTTTTAATAACACAGCCATGGTGTGCTTTAGCTGATGTTTTTTAGACAAGTAGTCCTTAAAATGACAGCAGTTTACAATTAGTCTTCCTCTTCGGAGAGCTTTACCTGAAAACTACTTTTGACTATACTGAAAACCTGCATTCCTTTTAAACTATCATTCATGCTGTTTGCATGCATTTTTAATTTGTTTTGTATTTGTAGAGTCTTTTTTTTAACCCAAAATATGAATGTGCACCAAGGAATATTTTAACAAAAGGGGAAGACTTGTTTGTTTGAACACCTTGTTAGCAAATTAATCTGTGCTGGGGGTAGTTCCACCCTGTTTTGGGTACCCAGACTGGCTGTCTGTAGTGGTAGAATCATAGAGGAACTTAGGCTCAGTGAGAGGTCTGGAAATTATCTGATTCAACCCCCAGCTCAAAGCAGGGCCAAGCACCAAAGTTAGATCCAGTTGCTCCAGCTTGTATCCAGTAGCATTTTGAATACCTGTAAGGATGGAAATTCTATCATTTCTGAGCCCTCCTTCAGTGCTGACTTTCACTGTGAAAGTTTTCCTAATGTTACATTGGAATTT